AGAGATAATTTACAACCTCTGCTGAAACTGTTGGTCTCCACACTGGCTGCAAGCCTACCCCAATCACAGGAAGTACGTCTGAAGTGGCATGGGGAGGGGGGGAACTGCCGCTCTCTGCCACACTAAGCTAAGTTGCCTCAATTAACACTGATGGCTGCAGTTCCCCGGGCTTTACGAAGTTGTCCATCACTATGCTCTCCATACAGCACGGCTTCACATTTAAAGCAACTTTTTGGAAAACTTGATTTGTATTTTCTTCCTTTTAAGCACGTGATACTAAAAGACACCTTGGACCTTCTTTTTTTTTTTTTTTTAAAGCACTTATGTCTTGAAAATAGAATTAAAAATTGGAATGTCCAATTAAATCACGTCTGATGCCAGTGTGCAAAACTTTATGTGTGTCTTTGTGATTGGAGTTTCTTTGGTGGCTCAATTTTACCTACTGTATTTAATTGCACAGTACAGCCAAAGCTTATTGAGTGGAATAATATTAGTATAGAAATTCTGTATTATACATTATATAATATGTTAGATAATATATGTAAAGAAATGCACTTTTATCTTTCAAACACCCACTCAAACTAGGCTCACTAAATTAAAATGACTTACTGACATCTTTAGGGGACCTGTTCTTTTTATTTTCCAAATTTTGATTTAAATTAGTTAACATACAGTGCAATAATTGGTTTCAGGAGTAGAATTAAGTGATTCATCACTTACATATAACACCCAGAGCTCATCATAACAATAGGGGACCTGTTCTGATGAATGAATAAGACCGATTTTGACTCAGAATTACAACTGTGTGCAAATGGTGCTTCTGTGCCACTGGAGGGTACTTAAAAACAATTTGGTCTCCTAAGTATTATAAATATTTGGCAGAATCTTGTTTATACTACCTATTAGCCTTTGTGTAACAAGTGAGGGTTTATGCAGTAAGGATGAACCAGTCTCCAGGCCCATCCTGGTTACTTAGGTTTTACTACCCTGTGGGAATTTTATGCAACTGGTGGGGCAAAAGTTGTTGTTCTTAGCCACAACTCACAAAACCTCTACTGTCCCCCATTGCACTTACCAAACACCTAGTACCTACACTAATGCAGTGGAGATAAATACAGTGTTGTCCACATTCAGTCTTCATTTCCTGTTAAACTTGAGTGACCTTAGGTCTTGGTTTGCCCAGGACATGCTCCATTTATGCCTGTTGTCCTGGCATAATTATTAATAGCACTCTTTGTCACTCTCAAAAGGTGTCCCAGTTTGGATGATATGGTTGCCCTATATTTAGCAGAAGTCTGATTTCTTTTAAGGCTAGGCCTCAAAGCCAAGGACCTGTTCTCAAACCACGAGCAGTACTCTTGCAGTAGTGGTACAGGGGTAAGGAAACAGTGAGGGGAGATTTTCCCCAAAATTAAGGAATATTTGGCATATTGTCTCTTAGATGATGAGCAATATTTGAGTGCTTACCAAGTGCCAGACATTGTTATAAGGTAGCTGGCATGAACCATCTTATCCTGTCCTCACAATTACCATGTGAGATTAGAGACTGTTGTCATCCCCATCTTACAGATGAGGGAACTGAGGTGCTGGGCACTTAAGCAAATGGTTCAAGATCAAACAGCTCATAAGTGGTAGAGCAGGGATTTGAGCCCAAGCAGTTTGACTCTAGAGTTCACATTCTCAACAATGACACTCTCCAAGGAAAAGACATTAAAACAAGGGTCGGTCTGTTAAGTACAGTTGAGGCATCAGTGGGCAGATTGTATGGGCCAGTGGGCAATGGGCAGAAATGCACAAAGAAGGTAGCCGGAGGAGTAGTGCCTTTTTAATTGTTTGCTTCCCCTTCTGCCTGTTTCTGCCAGCAAGTGAAGACAGGAGAGATCACCAATAGAAGTGGCGTAGCCCAGCCTGACCTTGCTGGTTCAGAAGCTGCCTTTAGCAAAATAACGGTTGAAGAGAGTGAGTCAAGGAATTTACCCAGGGTCACCACACCAGTAAACTTTGGAGCCAAAATCCAACCTCCTTCCTTTGAACTTAAAGTCCTCCAACTGCAAATCCAGTGCTTTGGGAAGGGTTTTCTTCCCAATTTAAGGACCATATGGGGATTAAGCATGTGGAAAATTGAGGTTAGGGACCTGTGGCATGGCTTGTGCTCTGTCTTACTCATGAACAAGGGTCCAGCCACCCTGTGAGATTTGCTGCAGGAATATGCTGCCAATTTCAGAGCCTCGTTGCAACAATTTATCTTTCTCTGTACTTGAATCATCTTGCCACATTGTGTTCCAAATGAGGATACTGTTTCCAGTTTAGAAGTGTGTTGAAGTGTTCAGCTACCTGTTGCTAGATCTGAAAACACATAGAACAATCCATTTTCATGTCATCTTATTTCGGTCCGGATTTTAGGGCATCAGTCGGCCACCCTGTATCCTGCCCTCTTCCTCTCACTGCCTATCCATGAAAGCCCAGGACAAATCTCATTTCCTCTTTACATTGCCAGCCTGTCATGCTCTCACCTTTCAGTCAACTCCTACAGCCCCACAGACTCCTTCCCCTCTGTCTGTAAATATGTGCATATCTCTTATCCTAAAAACAATCATTCATGAGCTCTACATCCCCTGATTTACTAACTCCTTCCTTCCACAATTAAATTTCTTCAAAGAGGAAGCTACACCTGACAGTGTTAACTTCACTCCTTAACGCCTTGCAGTCTGGCTTCCTCCCCTGCCTTGTGGTGGTTTTTGTTTTTGTTTTTGTTTTTGTTTTTGTTTCTTAGAACATCATTGAGCTCCTAATGGCAATGACATTGTTACTACCTCTCCCTTCTTGTAACCCGCATCATCCCTCTATTTCTGTGAAACTGTGCTACACTTGTTCTCACCCAGCTATTTCTTTTTTGTCTCCTTTCTGGCATCTTTTTCTCCTCCTAACCTCCACAAACAGGCATTCCCAAAAGTTACATTCTTCTTCCTAGCTCAAAAGATTCTCACCATGAGGTAGGGGAACCTTTAAAGAGTGACATGACCTGATTTACTTTTTATTTCCAAGTTCATTCTGGTGGCTGCAAAAAGACTGGATTGTAGTTCTGCAAGAGTACAGGTAGAAACCTGTTCAATATTGCAGAAAGTCTGGGTAAGAGATGACAATCCAGGACGGGGGTAGCGGCTTCTCTGTTCCCGTGGCCCATACTCTAGTTTGAACCATCATTACTTTTTATGTGGACCGTTGCGACACTGATTGCCTCTATCTTTCAATAGCTAATCTTTTCTACCCGCCACTGCTGTGGAAATCTTTTTTTTTTTTTTTAAGATTTCTGTTTAAATGTCTCCTCATTTTCCACAGAGTAAAGTCTATTCTCTTTAGCCTGGCATTCAAAACCCTTCATGATCCAGTCCCTTCAGCTAAACTTGACTAGAAATGGTCTCCTTTTTGTTTTTGCTTATGCTGTGGATTCTAGTCAGTGTACCCTCGCCTGGCTCTCGTCCCCACCAAGTAAAATCCTGTCCATGCACTAAGGCCATCTCAAATGCCACTGAATAGGAATCCTAGTTGCCATTTATTAAATACTTAATGTTTATTTATTAAGTAATCTAAGCATCCTACGTTCATTATCTGACTCTGCTGCATTGCAGTTTCTTATGTATTTGTCTCATCTGTACAAGAATGCAAATTCCTTGAAAGCAGAGATCAGAATTCATCTTGAGAACTGAATCCTTAGCCATAGTGTATATTTAGTTGATGTCAGATAAATGTTTGATGAATGACTGAATGATCGCAGAACTTTGAACTCGTTGCTATGGGAAGATATAAAAGAAGCATAAGGGCTTACATTCTAGTTAAAGAATACATCACAGGGGGAAAGTATTTCCAGAATGCTAAGTGTTCAGGGAATACTAAATGGAGGGTTGAGCAAAGTTAGATTTACCACAAAGTCATCTGGAGGAATGAAGTTTACATAGTGAAGGGAATGTTCAAAGGCTTCAGTGTCAGGCAGACCCGGTTTTGAATTCCTGCTTTTCTGCTTAGTAAGTGTGTGACGTTGAATAGTTATTTGCTTTCTCTAAACTGCCTCTGTAAAATGGACATATTACAACATCCTTCATAGGACTTTTGCAAAGGTGAAATGAGATAAAATATCCAAGTGCATATCGCAGTGCTCAATAAATGTTTAAAGAGTCAAAAAGGCAAGTTAGATTTTAAAGGAGGTAAGGATATTGGATTGTCTGAGGGGTGTTCGTAGATCACTTCAGGTTGATGTGAGAGGTGGAGGCTTGGGCATTGGCCAGCTTGCATCATAGCATAGGGGCTGCCAGGAACCCGGAAATACTGGTGATAATTCTAAAACCACTTCAGGATATTGTTTAATGTAGACCCTCACACTAAACCTAATATATGTCAGTAACGCTTGTATAGTTACAGAAGCAAAAGGAGGGAAGGAAGGGGAGCTGCAGTTTCCAAACATCACTGAAAGTATCTGCTTACCCCCCTTACTCCACATGAATTTTCAAAGAGTAATTTGACATCGTTGCTTGATTGGAATCTACAAAGCAATTTCCAGAGTACCGGCCAGCCTCTTAGGAAAGTGCTATCGGCTTTGCCAGAGTAAATTATTGAGATTGTTAACTCTTACATGGACATGGATTGTTAATGGTGAAAGGGAATAAACTAAAGTTGCGGTACAGAATTTACTGTGCAAACTTTTCAAACCCTTTACACCATTAATTAGTTCCGCACCAAAAAAAAAAAAAAAAAAGCCTGTCTAATGTAGCTGGGTGGTGCTGGGATCTTGGTGGCCACGTTGTGTCCATTTTTAAATATTTATATGGCTGTATTTGCAGATTGAAACAATTCATAAAGAGTTGAGGCTGCTTTTTTTTTTTTTTTTTTAAGCGCTAAAACTCACATTCGCGGCTATTTTAGTAATTAGCCCCGGCTCTTCCGCTACCCGAACCCCTCAAAACTACATCTCCCAGCATGCTCTAAAGCTGGTCTGACCTCATCTCAAATGGCCCCGTAGGGCAACAAGGATGGTTAGTTTTGACCGTGCTTATTTGTGCCATAAAATATTGATCCTAATTGGCAGCTATTTGGGTTTTTATATTTGCCGACCTCCCGTTTTTGAGCCGTGGTCACTAAATGAAGAGGTTCTGGCCTGGGAAGGCCCATGCATTCCTTCAATTGGATGGGGAGCTGGGACAGTGTCTCTGGCGATAGCGAGAATAGGAGGGAATGTTGACCAGGGAGCACCGCTGCGGCCGTTCAGAGGAGCAGGAACCGGAGCCCGGGTTGAGTCCGAAAAAAGCCGGATCCAGACGGTGGCCCCGGAACGGCTGCAATTGGAAGATGGAGGAGCCGGAGGAACCGGCGGACAGTGGGCAGTCGCTGCCTCCAGTTTACATCTACAGTCCCGAGTATGTCAGCATGTGCGACTCCCTGGCCAAAGTCCCCAAACGGGTAAGAGAGCTGGAGAAAAAAAGACCGTGGGCTTCTGGGGTGGGGGTGGGGGCCGTTGAACCGGAGGGCATTAGGACGGGGCAGAGGATTGGGCTGGGGAAAATCAGCAGAAATTTGGGCAGCTGCACCAGGTGATGGAGGAAGTGTTCCCTTATAGTTTCTGAGAGCGCAGCATTTATCTGCGGGGCGTCCAATGCACCGGAGAGGGTAGGGGTGCGGGGGGAGGGGATGGCACTGAGGCGTTGGTGTCTCTACTACAAGGGATCCCTGAAGTGGGGAAGACGCTGCAGGAGAGAAATGTTCCATCACCTCCGTAAGGCCCGGTAGCTTTCGCCTTTAGCAATTTGTCTAAAGTGCATTGTAACTGTTAAGTAAAAAGAGGGGAGTTAAAAGTTACTTTCTTTGTTCAGGATGATGAAGTTGATGGTATTTCTCTGAATTAAACATTTAAGAGACATTTTTTCTGCCTTTTTTTTTCTTTTTTTGTTCATGCTTTTAGGCCAGTATGGTACATTCTTTGATTGAAGCATATGCACTGCATAAGCAAATGAGGTAAGTTGTCTTTCGTGAACAGAGCGCTGAACCTAGGTGTTCTAGCCTTAATATCCTACTTCACAGTGGAGCAAATTAGAAAGAGAAGGGTCCTTTTTTTTAAGTTTTTTGTTGTTGTTGTTATTCAGTGTTTGTAATGTCTGTAATCTAGTGAAAGTTCTTGAAGAATTAAGAAAACCTGAAAAAAGGACCTGAAGCAGTTAAGATCCATTAGAAGTAAGACTCTATTGCTGGAAGGGAAAGTATTCTAGGGATAGGTGCTTTGTGGCGATTTTGAGGAGAGTTACATTAGGGTACTAAAACCTGATAGGGGAAAAAATTGGTGTTTGGCTGGGAGGTGTTCTGGGGTTTGTCTGTATTTGTTTCCAAGCCAGATGTGAGGGTGTGTGTTCAACTTCAGACTTTTAGACACCCCATCACCACCACCAGACTTTTACGAGTAAGCCTGGAGACAAGTCAAGACCAAAGCAAAACTCCTGCAACTAGGCCAGAACTCAGCACTGAGTTAAGTGCTTCTTTAAGAAAAAAAAAAAATGAACTTGCTGTTAATCTTTATAAGAGTAAATCTTATAACCCTGTCTCGTAGGATTATTTATGACATTGTCTGGCCAAATAGGTGAGTGTCTGCACGGGCTTTTGTGGTATGCTTCATTTATCTCCCAGAAGGTAGTGTAATAGGCTTTCAAATTTTATCCTTATTATCAAAATCATTTATTGAGTAACTTATTTTTTTAACCCATATGTTTGTTAGACATAAGAACTACATGCCTTCCATTTATTTAACCTTTCTCTCTTTTTAAGATTTTATTTATTTATTTATTTGTCAGAGAGAGAGAGAGCAAGCACAATCCGGGGAGCGGCAGGCAGAGGGAGAAGCAGGCTCCCCGCTGAGCAAGGAGTCCGATGTGGGCCTCGAACCCAGGAGCCCGGGACCATGACCAGAGCCCAAGGCAGACACTTAATTAACTGAGCCACCCAGGCATCCCTCAGTTATTTAACTTTTCAAAAGTTACTTTAAGACAAACAAGAAATCAGTGCAAAGCAAAACTGTCCCATTCGCTTGCTATTAAGCAGAGAGGCTTTCCATATTTGTTAAACAAGAGGAAGGGTGCTAGAAAAGGGACCCATTAGGGCTGGGAAACGTGGTCCAAGAAACTGTAACATTTTTATTTTACTGTGCAGGTTTGTCACCTCTGAGGGTGTAGCCATATTTTCTTGAAGGAGAAGCAGGAGTCCTTGGCTCTTGACCATATACATGATTTTTTTTGAGGCTGAGCTACAGGATTTTTCTGGCTTGCTTGGTGATAGTAGTAGCCTGTATAGTCATATTAATTCATGAAAAACTCATGGCTGAGTTCCCATTCAGCAAACATAAAAAGCCACTACTGCCTCCCTGTGGCCTAGGTCATTGCTCTTCCAACTTGAATGTATGTATGAATCACCTTGTTAAATTCCAATTCCGGAGATCTGAGGTGGGGCTGAAGTTCTGCAAGTCTAACAAGCTCCTAGGTGCCGCTGCTGCTGGTCCATAGACTACCCTTTGAGTGGCAGTGGCAGAGTCGGGGAGAGGAAATGGGGAGTAGGCAGCTGGAGGTTAGACGTGGTAAGTCCTGCCATTAGCTTAACATCACCCTGTATTCTCTCAGTCGCTTTTTTTTTTTAAGATTTATTTATTTATTAGAGAGAGAGAGTGGTGGGAGGGGCAAAGGGAGAGAATCTCAAACAGACTCCACACTGAGCACAGAGCCCGACACAGATCTCATGACCCTGAGATCATGACCTGAGCCGAAACCAAGTGCCCCTCTCTCAGTCACTTCTATTTGTCACTTGTTGTGAGGAGTTGATTAGGAGCTTCCGAGCGAAGCCCAGTTCCAACCAGTTTGCCCCTTCTCTTTTTCCTCTCAGAGGTAGGTATGAGGGACCAAACAGAGAAACTTTTTATGTTTTGAGTTGCCATTTTTTTATCCTTTAGTATTAATAATAATGATAGTTACCCACAAAGCATTTTCATATGTTATCATTTAATCTTCACATGTGTCCCATTAGATCTCCCTACTTTACAGATGAGAACACAACTATACAGAACAGTCAACTTACCTGAGGTTATAGAGCTGTTAAGTACAGAGTTAAAAAGAGGTGCCCAGTTCTCTGACTCCAAATTCAAAATTCATGAAAATACAGTTGCCTACTGAAGTTAAAATAGAGAGTTAAGTCTTGATTTCGGCTCAGGTCATAATCTCAGGGTCATGAGATCTGTGTCGGGCTCTGTGCTCAGTGTGGAGCCTGCTTAAGATTCTCGCTCTCCCTCTGCCCCTCCCCCCCTCTCCCTCCCTCTCTAAAAAAATAAGTAAAAAAACAATAAAGTAAAAACATAGCTGAAAGGATTCTATGTACCAATTAGGAACTGATGCAATTGAAAATATCTCTGCCTACTAGTTTGTCATGCAAGTTGTAACTCACAGAGTGAAGTTTGTCCAGTATCCGATTATTTAACTTAAATATAATTACTCACTTTTTTTTTTTTTACCTATCTATAAACTCAAGGGCTTCGAAGATCGGTCCTCTCACCCCTTATTAATGGAATCATTATATCGATGTGAGGAAGTGAAGACTAGATGGCACAGTAGAGGAACAGAACGTGTTCAATATTTCAGCCCACTGGAACTGGAAGCTGGGAGTTGTATTTTCTGCTCAGACTCCTTTCTCCTGCTTCCAGTTTCTGGCATACTCTGGGTCTGACTCACTCACCTCTCTTTGTTCTCCGTTATTATTAGGATAGTTAAGCCCAAAGTAGCCTCCATGGAGGAGATGGCCACCTTCCACACTGATGCCTATCTGCAGCATCTCCAGAAGGTCAGCCAAGAAGGAGATGACGACCATCCGGACTCCGTAGAATATGGGCTAGGTAAAGTCGTTACCGGCCAGTGGTGGGAGGGAGACGGCCTCCGTCTGTAAATTGTAACCACTCGTTTCCTAACTTGCATGATGGTCTTTAGTATTTGTCAATTAAGAACTGATGTGTTAACCGCAATCTTAATCTCTTAGTTTAGATACATATATCTTGCTTGCTGAGCAAACCGTATGAGTTGAGCAAAACTGAACGATGGATCAGATGGGGGAAAATCTTTTAGTTGTCAAGGCCCTAATAGTAGTGCCTAGATTGGGTCTGGCTCTGTGGATGCTGATTTAACCATCTCATGACCTTCTATTTTTAACTTGAGTACATATTTATGTTCCGGCTAAGGTTTCAACCCTGCTTCATGTTGAACAGCTGTATTTTTAAAAAAACTGTAGGTGGCCAATAGGATAATCTAGAGAAACAGCATGGTTTGGTAGAACCCTGGTCTGGGAGATGGGTGAGTCAAGGGACGTGGGTCCCAGGCCTGGCTCTTTGTGACCATAGATAAGACATATCACCTCTCAGGACTCGGTTTCTCCCTCTGTAGGATGTGACTAGCTAATCTCGAAGGTTTAGCCTCTCTAGTTCCAACACTTCAAAAGATTCTTTCCCCAACATTGGAGATGTTTATCTCTCTCTCATTTGGAAGCTTTTTGGTAAGATATGTTGTTGTCGCACCTCAAACTGTTCCTCCCAGTAGGGTTCTAGACCCAGTTCCAATGTGTGGAGGTGGGGCTTTCCTCCCACACCACCCAGCAGTGCTCAGGACACCAGCTGGGTGTCCTACAATTCAACTCAATTCTGACACTATCTACCTGGCCATAGCATGAGGTCCCACAGGTTAAGGGCTCAGTCCCACAAGACTGCTCTGCACGTCACATGCCAGTCACAAGCCCAGCTTGCTACCTGTGCTTCTGACTGACTGGCTATAAATCAGAAGGTTCCCACAAGCACCCTTTTTTGGGTTGAATTTGCTAGAGCAGGGCACAAGAAAACTCAGGAAACCCATTTACTCACTAGATTACCGTTTCATTATAAAAGGATATAACCCAGAACTGCCAGATGGAAGAGATGCACAGGGCAAGGGATGACCAAAGGGTGTGGTGTGGGGCTTCCACGCACTCTCCAGGCATGCCCCTCTCCCCACATCTCCACACGTTCACCAAACCAGAAGCTCTCCCAGCCCTCCTTTTGGGTTTTTATGGGAGGCTTCATTACATAGGCATGCCTGATTAAATCATTGGCCAATGGGTGATTGAACTCAATCTCCAGCCCCTCCCCCCTCAAAGGAGGAGGTCAGGGGGTAGGACTGGTAGTTCCAACCTTCCAATCACCTGGTTTGCCCCACTGCTCACCGCCCCCCCCCCACCCTGGGGTGTGATCCGCAAGTCACCTCATTAACACAACAAAGACACCTTTACTGCTCTCCTCACGGGGGGGGGGGGGGGGTAGTATTTCTTATTATGGGAACCACCATATCACACCTCCTCTTTCTGCAGTTCATCTTGTAACAAGCTCTTCTCATGTTTTTGCCTGAAGGTTATGACTGCCCTGCCACGGAAGGGATATTTGACTATGCAGCAGCTGTAGGAGGGGCCACGATCACGGCTGCGCAGTGCCTCATTGACGGAACGTGCAAAGTAGCAATTAACTGGTCTGGAGGGTGGCATCATGCAAAGAAGTAAGAAAATGACCTTTCTGCTTTCTGCCTCTTTCCTTGAGTCAGTTTCTCAGTTATGCAGACGCTGACGCTTATTGTATGGGCATTCCTTGAGAGATTTGTGTATGAATATAGCCCTTTCCCCAGGCATTCTGAAGAGATACAAATGAAATAGAAGAAGGTGACACACAGTATAATGGAAAGCACTCTATCGGAAGTCAGGATACCTGGGCCCCATGCCTAGTTTTCCTGCAAACTTGGCTAACTGACTTGGAAAGATTAACCTCTCAAGGCCGCAGTTTCTTCATCAGGAAAATGGGCAGGGCAAAGGATATAACTGGGCAGTCTCTACAGTCCTTTAACAGCTTTTGGGAAATGCCCCTGTCTTCAAGGGACTTATGCTCTAGAGACAGTCACAGAACTAGAAAAATTAGGGAGCAACATCAGTTTGGGTACCAACTGAATATACGTATGAGCTGAGGAGATTGTAGTGCTATGCAGAAATTAATCATGGAAGTCTTGGAAGAGGTGCGTTTTAGAGCTAGTTCTTGAAAGAAGTGACAAACAGGTTTCCAAATAGGTGGGAAATTGATGAGAATAGATTTAAAACAAAAGGCTGACGAATCAAGGAAGCTTTTGCCGCCATCTCTAAGGCAAGTGGCAACCGACTGAGAGAATTAACTGTCACTCTAAGGAGAAAGGGCTTGTGAAACAGCTGTTCTCAGGTGCTACTTGGAGCTAGAGAAGTCCTTTTGGAGTTTCATGTTGACATTTCAAACAGCTCTACCCTGTGTGTGACAAGGACCGCTGGGACGGCATTTGTCATCTTGCTTGATACGCTTGCTTGCTATGTGGGTAGTAAGTACTTAATACATACTGGAGGAGAAGAATTTTTAAAACTCTGAATTGCTCTATGTGCTGTGTGAGTGAAATGAAGCAGTGGTGGTAGTAACTGGTGATGCATCTTTCACACGCCAATCATTCATACTGTTGGCCATGACCTTGATCCTCCTTGGTGCTCTTGAGTCCAGAGAAAATGGCATTTTTTTTTTCTTCAGACTGAAACCTTGAGCAGTTTCAGCATATGCAGGTTAAGACGATAACATGGAATTCTTTTCATCAAATCGACAGATTTCATGACCAAGGAAGTCCTTGAGAAAGTTTACTACTAGAATCTACTACTGAGGTGATGGAGCAGAGAGAACCAGTGTTTAATAATATGTTTTCCATGGCCTTAGAAACAAAGAGAAACCACCTACCTTTTGTTAGCTCTTGCTCTATTAAAAAAATTCAAAATAAAGACAGTGATCCCTAGGACAAAAAAAAAAAAAGAAAAGAAAAATGACCCTCTCTCCTTTAAACTACAGATGAAGGTCGGGGGCGGGGGGAGGGGGAACCAAGCCTCTCTGAACCAAGGACCTCTTTTACCTCTTGTGCTTATTAGCAAGTTGAGAAGAAAAGTAGTGTGGTTTCCTGGAAAATGCCTGATCCTGTTAATCAGATCTGCTTTCTGCATGTGGCACTGGAGGGTCTTACATATTTAAATTCACTGCTTAAGGCCTGCTAGGGCCTGGGTCAGTTTCCAGTGGAATACCCGGATACCTGCCACTTCTCCTCACTGTTTTGCTTTGAAATGAAGCATGCTCTATCTAGAGTCAATCATGGCTGCTCCTGGGCTGCATGTAGGTAGGTATTATCTTACCTGTTTCAGACAGCTTTCAGCTGAGCCTACCTGGAAACAGACACTGTGGTGGATATAAATTGCAGAGAGTCTCTAGGGATCCCCCCAATTCAGGTCCAAATTCTAGGGGGTTCTTGGCACCTCTAGAACATCTCTGCAGGTGGACTCCAGGCATTTAGCCCACAAACTGTCATCTAGCCAGCATTATCTTTCATAAGCGCAGTACTTGTTTAAACGTTTCCATCCCCAAATACGTGTATAGATTCATACATGCCATTTAGTCATTCAGCATGCACTGATTAAGCACCTACTGTATGTCAAGCATGTTTATCGTCACTAATAAGCAGAGAGATAAAAATTGAAGCATGGTATCTTTCTCCCCTACCAATGTTGAAAAAAAAAATCTTCAAAATACCCTCATGCTGGCATGATTACAGTGAAATTGGTACACTCTTTTTGAAAACTTCGGAGCTAAGTCTTGAAAGAGTGGGGAAAACATTCATACCTGTATGACCCGGTAATATTGTTCTTAGCAGTCTATTCTAAGGAAACGAACCAATCCGGCCTTCACAAAATTCATATCTTAGAGGTAAGACAGCAAATAATTGCATTTGGAAACTAAAGAACAGTAATTTTCAAAGAAAATTCTTCAAAAGAAGAATGATGAGTGACTAATGCTATTAGATATTAAACATACAAAACTAGAATAATGAAAACACTGGTACCGCTGGTATAAGAGGAGACAGATGATATTATACCACACTCCGCAAAGAGACTGTTATGTATAAGAATTCGGTCTATTATAAAAGATGCTTTGCAAGTGGATGGGAGTGGAAAGGATTCGTCAGTAAATGGTGTTGTGACAGCTGGTAGCATTTATACCCTCATCTCTCGTAATAAACTAAAAAAAAGTGGCAGCTAGATTGAAGAGTTCAGTGTAAAAAAGCAAATTAAAAAAAACTGGAATGAATGGGTATTTATCAAGCTTCTCAAGGAGAATAGTTTCCCTAAGCTTAGGAAGTAATAGAAAAAAAAAAAAAAAAACTCCCAAAGGAAAAGCTCAACGAATTTAGCTGCATAAAATTTTAAAACCAAAATCACTTTTTAAAAGTTTTGTGGCCCTTTAAAACACAACATCTAAATACAGACTAAAAAGGCATATTTGACATAAATATGACAAAGTGCGGTAGGTTTGTGTTTTCTAAGGCACTCATATGGTATGATGTGTGAGAAGAAGTATGGGCAAAGAACATGAAGAGACAATTTGCAAAGGTGTTTAAGTACCACTGGAAAACATGGGGCAGTGTTCATTGCTACTAGTCGAAGAAATGCAAATTTTAACAACTAGGTAGCCCCTTTTTAAGCCAGAATTGGAAAACGTGGTACTCGGTTGGCTGGTAATAGTGCAGTTTTTTTCAACCCCTTAAGAAAGCAACTTGGTAGCTAAGGTATATTAATGCCCTTTGTCTACTTTAGGGATAGGATTAATGCCCTTTAATCCTACTACTGAGAATGTTTCCTGAGAAGACCATGCAAAATATGGAAAAAACTATTTGCATGGAGGTGTTTATCAGTGTTCTTTATGAAACAAAAAAATTAGAAATAACATGAATATGTAGTAATAAGTAGTCAGTCTCCATAGAATATTATGTATTATTTTAAATGATTATGAAGACAATAGGGTGTTTCAGAAAAAAGACTTGTGTTAATAAAAAGGCAAGTTTTAAAACTGTATGCACACCACAATTACAACTTTGTAGAACGCACACATATATAAAAAAAAAAAAGGCAGTGGGAATGATAATAGTGGCTATGTCAGGGTGGCAGAATTATTGATGATTTTTTTAAAGTGTAATGCAAAATTTCTGTAATGAGATTTTATTACTTTTGCAGCTAAAATATTACCAAAATAGTATGGTGGTTAACATAACAAAAAAATTATTAAAAAAATAAAATAAAATATTACCAAAATAAAAAGAGGCAAAAAAAAAAAAGTTGCAGCAAATACTACAAAGGGTTAAAATCTTTATTCTAGGGGCGCCTGGGTGGCTCAATTAAGCTTCCAACTCTTGATTTCGGCTCAGGTCGTGATCTCAGGACTCAGGTCGTGATCTCAGGGTTGTGGGATCCAGGCCCGCATCGGGCTTTGTGCTGAGCATGGAGCCTGCTTGGGATTCTCCCTCTCCCACTACCTCTGCCCCTCTCCCTCTCTCCCTCTCCCTACCTCTCTCCCTCTCCCCTCAAAAAAATAATAAAATAAAATCTTTATTTTAATTGATTTTTTAAAACACTGAAATTTAGATAAGTGGGCAAAAGACATGAACAGTTCACAAAAGAGGAAACAAATAGTAAATAAACATGAGTAAATATTTAGCATCACTAAAATTACAGGAAGGGAGATTGAAACATAATATACACCTGCATGTATTTTTTCCCTTCCCAAATTTGAGCTGAAAGAAGAAAGATTCTTAACTCATATATCTATTACTCTCGGTAATCTATTCTAAGGAAATAAACCAGTCCAAAATATTGGAGAACCCTGTGTATGAAGATGGTAATTTCTCTCTTAATTATAATAGCCCAAAAGGGGGGAAGGAGGGAGACCTAAATATTGAACAACAGCAGAATGTTCAGGATGTTTAGGTAGTATACTGTAACATATCCACTTTATGGGCTATTATGTAACCATTAACAAGTGGTAGTTAGGATGACTGTATAACAAAAAAAAATTCATATTGTATAATGTTGGCTTTGTTCTTAAAGGGCAGGTAGCTACAACATTGCACATTCGCTCTGATTAGTCATGTTAAAAAAGAGATGCTTATGAAAAACTCTTAGAAGGAGGGGCGCCTGCGTGGCTCAGTTGTTAAGCATCTGCCTTCGGCTCAGGTCATGATCCCAGGGTCCTGGGATCGAGCCCCGCATCGGGCTCCTTGCTCCACGGGAAGCCTGCTTCTCCCTCTCCCAGTCCCCCTGCTTGTGTTCCCTCTCTCGCTTTGTCTCTGTCTGTCAAATAAGTAAATAAAATCTTTAAAAAAAGAAAAAAGAAAAAAAAAGAAAAACTCTTAGAAGGAAATACAGCAAAATACCAGTGACTTTGTGAAGCTGACAATACTATGAGGGATAAAGAGGTATGCACGCACACACACGTATACATGTATCTTCTGTTTCCTATATTTTTCCTGTGTTTTCTCTAATGTGTATTAGTTTTATCAGTAGAACTTTTTATAGTAAAAACTGCTTGGAACAAGGTGGGAAGCAGTTACAATACAGACACAGTATGGTCAGTGTATATGCTGCCGTTATGTGCAAGGTAGTGGAGTGTACAGAAGGAGGAGAA